GAAGGCTAAACACCTTTAAAATCCCTCCTGGCCAGAGGAAAAAACCCTTTCACCTGTAAAGGATTAAGAAGCTAAAGATAACCTCACTGGCACCTGACCAAAATGACCAATGAGGAGACAAGATACTTTCAAAGCTGGAAGGGGGGGGGGGAGGGTTCTCTCTGTCTGTGTGTTTTTTCTTTTGCCGGGACCAGAGCAGGTCAGAACTCCTGTAAAGGGTTAATAAGCAATCTAGTTAGATATGCGTTAGATTCTGTTTCGTTTAAATGGCTGATAAAATAAGTTGTGCTGAATGGAATGGATATTCCTGTTTTTGTGTCTTTTTGTAACTTAAGGGTTTGCCTAGAGGGATTCTCTATGTTTTGAATCTGATTACCCTGTAAGGTATTTACCATCCTGATTTTACAGAGGTGATTCTTTTACTTTTTCTTCTATTAAAATTCTTCTTTTAAGAACCTGATTGCTTTTTTCATTGTTCTTAAGATCCAAGGGTTTGGGTCTGTGTTCACCTATGCAAATTGGTTAGGATTTTTATCAAGCCTTCCCCAGGAAAGGGGGTGTAGGGTTTGGGGGGGATTTTGGAGGGAAAGACGTTTCCAAGTGGGCTCTCTCCTGGTTATATTTGTTAGACGCTTGGTGGTGGCAGCAATAAAGTCCAGGGACAAAAGATAAAATAGTTTGTACCTTGGGGAAGTTTTAACCTAAGATGGTAAAAATAAGCTTAGGGGGTTTTTCATGCAGGTCCCCTCATCTTGTTGTACCAATAAAATAAAAACCAGCAGGATCTTATTAAAGGGAAAAAGGCAAAATACCACATTTACTGTGAATACAGAAAGAATCATAGTAAGCAGTTAGTTATAGTTATAACATTCCATTCAATCTCATATTTATTCACACATTCATTCATACAAACATACACACACACACACACACACAGGTTCTGCAAGGTTGTTATCATAGTTACCAGCCTTAGAGTTGCTCGTGCCAAGCCACTGGCCAGGTGGCCTGGACATGAGGAGGGAGCAGGGCCTTGTCAGATGCTCATCTGATGCTCCTGGAAGTTGGTTTGCAGAATCAGACCCCAAAGTTCTCACTTTTTAGAGTCTATTTTTATAGGAATTTCTTCCTATGCCAGTCTATGGGAATTGCTTCATCATGCTGTTGCTGAATCAATCAGCAGATAGCACATTCCTGACGGCTCCAAGATGTTATCTTGTTCTTTGGTTCTCCCATTCTTGAGGCTGTTGGGTGGATTCCAGTCTGCCCTCCGGGGGGGGGGGGGTCCTCTGGTTATTTCCACTTGACGCCTTCTTCAGCTGATGGACACTGGATTCTTAGGCTGGCACCTCCCTGATCATTCAGTTATTATCCACACCAAGCATCCATCCACATACATCCTCTATCTCTATTTTAATCACAATTGTTAATACAACAAAAGGGCGGGGAGTCTCTGGGTGCTGTTTCTGTTGTTAGAGTATTGCTTTGAGTCTCTCTCTCTGTGAATTGCTTTGAGAACAGACTCTGTCTTAGAATGTACTAACACAGTTAGCAGCTTGCAAGTTTCACACATAGAGGGAGAGAAACAGTACCAAAAACCAAGAGACCTCTTAATTAGTAATACCCTGGAATTTGAACTATGGGGAATCAAACTCATTTGTGATTTTAATACAGAACTTCTTTAATATGATCCAACATAATCCCCCTTTTGACACTAAGATTTATAATCGTCAGTGTCACTTTCTATGTAGCCTATTCAAGAGAAAGTACTGTGAGGCAATTTGAGTTTGTGATTCCAATTCATGCCACATACATGATCCTAGTGATGTATCTTTACTACAAGGTTCTGGGGCAACAGGCAAGGTGAGGCACACCCACTTTTGAGGACTCCATTCGGTACAACCTCTAGTGTCCAATAGCTTCCCTCCCTCCCCAGCCCACTGGCTCAAGGTCCAGGGTAGCCAAAAGGATCCCATGTGTAATATGGGGAGTGGGTTAACCTTCAATACCTTTGCCTCCAGGGACTGTTGGTGTGCAATTTTGACAACAATTTCTCCCATTAACAAGTCTGGTTTACAATACTGGAAACATATTGCATCCATTCATATTGATAAGTGTCAAACAATGATCTCTTTCTTTTTTAACAAATGCATCAAACCCTTAATATTTCCTAATATGACCCAGAACATTTTGTGTTCCAAAGTAGCTAGAGCAAGTATCTGCATTTCAGTGCATCCCATAGCTATGGCTGTGTAGTTTCCTATTTCTAATATTTTTTTTTCATATGGATAAGCCATGTGGTAGTATTAAGCCATTACTAAAGATTCCATCGGCCTTTTAGGTTACCCAGACCAATTTGGACCAAGTCTACATTGGCATGTACTTGTTTTTGTATCAGGCTGTCCTGTAGCTGATGTCTGCAAAAGGGGGATTATGTTGGATCATATTAAAGAAGTTCTGTATTAAAATCACAAATGAGTTTGATTCCCCATAGTTCAAATTCCAGGGTATTACTAATTAAGAGGTCTCTTGGTTTTTGGTACTGTTTCTCTCCCTCTATGTGTGAAACTTGCAAGCTGCTAACTGTGTTAGTACATTCTAAGACAGAGTCTGTTCTCAAAGCAATTCACAGAGAGAGAGACTCAAAGCAATACTCTAACAACAGAAACAGCACCCAGAGACTCCCCACCCTTTTGTTGTATTAACAATTGTGATTAAAATAGAGATAGAGGATGTATGTGGATGGATGCTTGGTGTGGATAATAACTGAATGATCAGGGAGGTGCCAGCCTAAGAATCCAGTGTCCATCGGCTGAAGAAGGCGTCAAGTGGAAATAACCAGAGGACCCCCCCCCCCCGGAGGGCAGACTGGAATCCACCCAACAGCCTCAAGAATGGGAGAACCAAAGAACAAGATAACATCTTGGAGCCGTCAGGAATGTGCTATCTGCTGATTGATTCAGCAACAGCATGATGAAGCAATTCCCATAGACTGGCATAGGAAGAAATTCCTATAAAAATAGACTCTAAAAAGTGAGAACTTTGGGGTCTGATTCTGCAAACCAACTTCCAGGAGCATCAGATGAGCATCTGACAAGGCCCTGCTCCCTCCTCATGTCCAGGCCACCTGGCCAGTGGCTTGGCATGAGCAACTCTAAGGCTGGTAACTATGATAACAACCTTGCAGAACCTGTGTGTGTGTGTGTGTTTGTATGAATGAATGTGTGAATAAATATGAGATTGAATGGAATGTTATAACTATAACTAACTGCTTACTATGATTCTTTCTGTATTCACAATAAATGTGGTATTTTGCCTTTTTCCCTTTAATAAGATCCTGCTGGTTTTTATTTTATTGGTATAACAATCTGTACCCTAAAGTTCAGAGTGGGGAAGGAACCTTGACAAAAGCATACAGATGATTTGAGAGATTTGAAGTGTCTGCTTTTAAAGAAAGCTCCTTTAAGATCCAAATTGAAAAAGCAGTCGAGTTACTGCAGAAGAAATACCCCAATGTGACAATTAACAAGGATGAACTGTTTGATGAAAACAATGAGGAGTCCGGTGGCACCTTTAAGACTAACAGATTTATTTGGGCATAAGCTTTTGTGGGTAAAAAAACCCCACTTTTTGATAAATGCATCTGAAGAAGTGGGGTCTTTTACCCACGAAAGCTTATGCCCAAATAAATCTGTTAGTCTTTAAGGTGCCACCGGACTCCTAGTTGTTTTTGTGGATACAGACTAACACGGCTACCCCTCTGATGTTTGATGAAGTGACTCTGTTAAATGAGTTTGTGACAGGGAAACTATGTGAATGCAATGACACAACTACAGTGATCACAGTGTGTGGCAGATGGGATGAAGTAATCAAGCATCATAGGGAATCCTCAGTACCACATGCAAATATAAAAAAACAGGCAGAACTGATCCGGTGCCTGCCTGGCAGTAATGCTTCAGTTGAAATGGTATTTTGTGTTATGAATGACCTGTGGACAGGAGAAAAATCCAGAGACAAGGTTGAAACTGTGAAAGCCATTCTCAAGTTATTGTCAAAACAAACTTCACTTTAACCTGGAGGTTAATCTCTAGGTGGATTCCACTAGCAGAAGCAATAAGTTGTCATGCTGGTTTTCTTGCAAAACAGAGATAACACAGCATTCATTGATAAGCCTGTCAAAAATAAATGACATTGGCAGTGGTGCAAAGAAAGAGATTCTTTAAATAGGCCATCTGGACAGTGGGTACAGAAAACTGATGTTGTTGAACAATGTTTTTGTAGGTTTCAGAGTAACAGTTGTGTTAGTCTGTATTCGCAAAAAGAAAAGGAGTACTTGTGGCACCTTAGAGACTAACCAATTTATTTGAGCATGAGCTTTCGTGAGCTACAGCTCACTTCATCAGATGCATACCGTGGAAACTGCAGCAGACTTTATATATACACAGAGAATATGAAACAATGTTTTTGTATTGTTTGTAACCAGTGTTTGAATGCGCTTCTTTAGTGTGACATCACATCCACACTGATTACATACATATTTGTTTTGTATTTGTAGTGTATATGTTCAACTGTTAAAATATAAGCTGCTAAATAAATTTGCCTCGCTATGCTCTGCAACTTACATTTTCAGTCTTGGCTTCTTTGCTGTGCTCCCACCTCTGTGTGTCCCTGGATTTGGTTTAAAAAATGTGGTGGTCACCTTACCGTATTTTGAAACCTCGGGGTACGCAAGACAAATCAGACGACTGAAAGGGTACAGTCGCCTGGAAAGGCTGAGAGCTACTGCTCTAGGGCTCTCTCTATCTCTGATTCATTCGATCTGGACGGATTTCTCATTGTTCAGGAAGCAGAGAAGGATTCTTTCTGGATCCCTTTCTGGGAGAGCACAGGGAGGAGCTTTCCTCAGATTCTACCACAAGAGGGCTCTGGCTGTTGCTTGGAGGGGAGGCTGCTCTATGTCTGTCTGCTAAGGATACTGGGGTTGAACTTCCTGGGTCAGACTCTGCTGCTGCCGCCTCCATTGTGAGCCAGGAGCCCGCGCTGATTAGCTGCCGCTGCCCAGCGGGGTGTGTGCGGGGAGAGCCCTTCCCTAGCGCCCCTCGCGGCCCAGACGGGGGGACTTTCTCCGGGGGCTGGAACCAGCCCCTGGGGCAGCCCCGGGCTCTGCCGACACCAGCCCCTGAGCCGGAGCCTGCAGGTGAGGGGAGAGACCCGGGGGAAGGGCTGGGGCCGGGCAGGAAAGTGACTCTGCACCAACGGCCCCTCCTCGCCCCAGCTCTGCTCCCGGGGGTGCGGGGGTCTGCGAGTCCCGGAGCTGCTGCCCTCCCTGACCCCCCGGCTCTGCCCCCCTGAGCGCCTGCAGGAGCCGAGCCAGCGCCGGGAGAGCGAACGGCCCGGGCCGGCCAGGGACCGAGTCTCCCGGGCAGAGGGGAGTGGAGAGGGAGCAGGAGAGAGAGAACAAAATTTCGGGAGGGATCAATACTCCCATGCAGGGCAAGATTTTCAAAAGTGCTCAGCTCCCAACACCTCCCCACAGAGAACAATGGAGAATGCCCCCCATGGAGAACAATGGCGAGTGCCCCCTCCGATGGAAAATCGTGGGAGTTGCTGAGGGCTGAGCTCTTGAAAATCTTACAGAGAACTGAAGAAAGGATAGAAAGTCTGAGGCTGTCTTTGCTGCTAACAAAGGGGGTGTTTTTACAGCAGGAGATAGCTAACACCCTTTTGTTTTCCTGCTGTAAAATCTTAGTGGAGAAATTACTTGAATTTTTACCATGATGTAGCTGCTCAAGAAAAAACCCAGGAGTGGCGAGGGGGGTATAGTGTTAACCTCCCCATGCGGTAAAAATCTGGCTGCACCCTGTCTCCACTGGCATTTTACCAAGAATTGGCTGTCATTTGTTATCTTGTAAAAAACTAAAACAAAACCCCTCTTCTGGCAGTAGAGACAGCCTACCAAAGGCAGCAGGAGGTGGGGAGGTTCCCAGCTCCCAGACCTGCCTAGATCCCTTTCCTGCAGCATCCCTGGGCAGATTCATTTTCCTGGGAACAGGGCAAGGAGCAGAGAGAGGGAAAGCCAGCTCCTGATAATGCCAAGGAGTATCCCCCAAGGTTGCTCCTTTGATTCTGCTTTTTATGATGATGATTATTGTTCTTTTCAGGCACACAAAAGTGGCCTGGGCGCCTTGCAGAAAGAAGTATATGTATATAGTCCACAGCCAATTCATATATTCTACGGCCGGAAGGGACCATTTTGATCATCTAGGCTGATCTTTCAACTCACAGGTCAGAGAATTTCACCTAGTGTTTCCTGCATCAAGCCCAATAACTTGTGGCTAAGCTTAGAGCAGGAGAGTGAGACATCTAATCTTAGTTGAAAGACTCCAAGTGATAGAGAATTCACCACATCCATCCAATGAGCTGTTCCAATGCTTAATTATCCTCAGTTTTAAAAGTTTCCACCTTTTCCCCTGAGTTTGTCTAGCTCCAGCTTCTAGCCATTGGATCTTGTTCTGTCTTTATTTGCTAACTGAAAGATTCTTACTCTATCAAAAATGTCTTTGTTTATAGATACTTAAAGACAGTGATCACATTGCTGCTTAACCTTCTTTTGGATGTGTTAAATAGATTGAGTTTCTGAAGTCAGGTTTTCCAGGCCTCAAATCATTCTTCTCTGAATTCTCCAGGTTCCCAAAATCCTTTTAAAAAGTATGGATACCAGAATCAGATACAGAATTCCTCTAATGGTTTCACCAATGTTTTATACAGACAATATACCACCTCCCTACTCTATATTCCCCTGCTCATACGTCCAAGGATCATATTGGATCTCTTAGCCACAGCATCACACTGGGAGCTCATGTTTAGCTGGGTTCCACCATGTCCCCAAAGTCCTTTTCAGAGTTACTCCCTTCCAGGGTACAGTCCCTCATTCTGTAAGCATGACCTACATTTGTTCTTAGATGTATAACCTTACCTTTGACTGTATTAAGACAAATGTATTTCTGATAAGCTCATCTTACCAAAAGCTCCCATTTGCTCTACAATACTGACCTATCCTTATCATTTTTACTACTCTAATAATTTTTGAGTCATACTTTACCAGCAATGACTTTATAATGACTTCCTTTATCACCCAACTTGTAATCTCCTCAAAAATGATATCAGGTTTGTTTGACAAGAGCTGTTTTCCATAAAACCATGTTGATTGGCATTATATTACCATCTTTTAATTTTTTACTCAGTGGGTCCTGTATTCATTCCATTCTGTTACCAACAGGGCTATCATTATCCAAGACAACCCATTTGCCCAATCTTGCAAACTTTTTTGTGTGTGAATAATTGCTCATGAGAATAATAACAACAATCCTATAAGTTAATGTTTTTGCCAGCTTAACTGCATGCAGGATTGGGTCCAGTGTTCAGACCTAACACAAATGAGGGTCATGGCAGAAGCAATGGGGGACAGAAGGGACAAGTGGAACTGTAATGAGTTCTGGGGATGACTCAGTAAGGTATGGGTGCATCTTGGTGATTATTGTATCAGTTTATTTTTAATTCCTAAAGAAAGGATACAATTTTCAAAAGCACCGTAGGCATTTAGGAGCCTTTCAATGGGAGTTATGCATCTAACCTGTTTATGCATCCAGTGAACTTTTCAAAAGCATCTATTGGCATCTTTAGGCTCCCAAATACCTTTGAAAATCTGTCCCTTAGATGCTTTTGAAAGTTGGAGTTAGGCCCTCTGGAAAATCATAGAATCGTAGAAATGTGGGACGGGAGGGACCTTGAGAGGTCATCTAGTCCAGTCCCCTGCACTGAGGCAGGAACAAGTATTATCTACATCATCCCTGACAGGTATTTGTCTAACCTGTTCTTAAAAACCTCCAGTGATGGAGATTCCTCAACCTCCCTAGATAATTTATTTCAGTGCTTAAAATGTTCCCCTCTGTAAATAGAAGGACTGATTTTCAGGGGTGCTGAGCACCCACTCCTTGTAGCATTATTATTTGTCCTGCGGGAGAGCCTAGAGTCCAGTTCTGTTGTCCTGAGCTTTGTACAAAGACAGTTGCTGTTCCTAAGAGCTTATACAATCTAAAGTACAATTCGCAAATGCAACAAACTGATGGGATGCACAAAGGAACAGTTATGCAATTGTAATCAGCGTGATAAAGAGTGGTCATAGCTCATCGTTACTGAGATGTTTATAGGCATGATGGCAAAGGAGAGTATTGGAAGAGGGACAGTGTAGTGGCTTTGCTAGGTCCATGATGTTGTCATGAATTTAGGGCTCATGAAAGGTGAGGGTTTTTTATTGTGGTAAATTCGAAGATATTTTGTCAACAGGTGTTGATTTTCTGTTCCCCTTCTGAGGTTCCCTTTCCCCCACAGCACAGGGAATGACTCATCTCTGGATTCTTTCTCTATCCCAGCTGTGAGTGACAAGAAGGAGAACAGTCTGAGATGGAGGAACCATACAAGATGTCTCTGACAAGATCCAAAGGCAATGTTTCTGAGAGCCCTGAGCAGGAAAAAACCCCTAGGAGCCCAGGCGAATCAGAAGCACAGCAGCAAAACACTCCAGAGGAAAGTAAATCTGCTCACAGTGGGCGAGGTGTGAGGAAACGCAAAGGTACCATCGTCCGCCGGAGAACATTCATGGGGGAGAGGCCCAACATCTGCATTGAGTGCGGGAAAAGCTTCCTTCAGAGCTCAGACCTTATTAACCATCGGCGAATCCACACGGGGGAGAAACCCTATAAATGCATCGACTGCGGGAAGAGCTTCAGCGTCAGCTCAAACCTTATCCGACACCAGAGAACCCACACGGGAGAGAAACCCTATAACTGCCCTGACTGTGGGAAAAACTTCACGGACAAGTCGACCCTGACCCAGCACCAGCGCGTCCACACGGGTGAGAAGCCCTATAAATGCATCGACTGTGGGAAGAGCTTCAGCCGCAGCTCCCACCACAAGAGGCATCTGAGGAGTCCTCCAGGGAAGAGGCAGGGTAAATGCACCCACCGGGAAAGCACTACTGTTGGGAAGGTCAAAGAAACCAAAGCGTCAAAGAAGAGAACCTCAACAATCGAGATCCCCAACACTTGCGCTGAATGCTGGCAAAGCTTCAGCCAGAACTCGGACCTGGTCAAACACATGAGGATCCACACAGGAGAGAAACCCTACGAGTGTCCCGACTGTGGAAAAAGATTCAATGTCAGCTCAAACCTGATCAGGCACCAGAGGATCCACACGGGAGAGAAGCCCTACACATGCACTGACTGCGGGAAAAGCTTCACTGACAAATCTACCCTGACCCAGCATCACCGTATCCACACGGGAGAGAAACCCTACATATGCACTTACTGCGGGAAAAGCTTTAGTCACAGCTCCCACCACAAAAGACATGAGAAAATCCACAAGGGAAGGAACTCGGTGTCCTTCCTGCCATTGTGGCCCTACCCCACTCAAACGTTCTAAAGAATGGGGTGCATACTAAAGAGCCAGAAGGCGGATTGGGGTGAAATACACAGAGAGAGAAAGTGAGCACCCTGGAGAGTGTGACCTGGAGAGTAGGAACTGCTACATGTCATCAGACCGGCAGTCAAACCACTCCAGTCCCATTTCCAAAAGTTGCTATGAACCACATACCTCAAAGGAAGGTGTGAAACTCCCATAAGGGACAATTTTGCAATAACCTGTCCATGGGGGGAAAGTGGCTACCTGTTCCCAGGCTGTTAATTGGTTGGCTTATATCCTCAATATAAAGATCCCTTAGAAAACTTTATCTTAGCCATGGTAACTGTTGATTATATTTTTTATCATTCCCATAGATGTGTCTAATTCCCTTTTTTTGGAATCCTACTCTTGTTCTCCATAACATCTTGTGACGGTGAGTTCAACATGCTAGCCATGTATTGTGTAAATAGTATTTCTTGTCAGTTTTAAATTAGTACCCATTATTTCACTGGGCATCTCCTTTTTCTTGTACTATGAGAGAGGGCTAGTGGGGAACCCGATTTACTGGTACTTTCTCTCTGCTGTTTATACACCTAAATCACGTGCCCTCTTTTTCATCATCTCACTAGACTAAATAGTTCCAGTCTTTTCATCCCCTTCTCATACAGAAGTCTCTCCTGCCCACTAACAATTGTTGTTCCCTGTCTCTGAACCCCCTCTAATTCTGCTATATCCTTTTTGAAATGGGATGACCAGATCTGAATGCAGTATTCCTGGTTTGGGTGTCCCATCAATTTATATAGTGGCATTAGAATATTCAGTATTATTTCTATCCAAATGTTTATCCATACTTTATTTTTTATCCACTATTGCGCATTGTGGAGAGGTTTTCACTAATGTCTAGTATGACTCCGGCATCTCTTTCCTTAGTTGTTGCACTTAATTTAGATCCTAGCTGTGTGTATGAGTAGATGATATTGTCCCTTTTAATGGGCCACATGGTGCCAGCAATTTCCAAGCAAAACTCTCTCTTTGAATAGGGAGATTAAATATATATCTATATTGGTAGAGACTTTCAAAGCAGCCTAAGGAGTTTGGATGCCCAGGGTGTAATTTTCAAAAGCTCCTAAGTGATTTGTAATGGTATTTAGGCATTGTTCTGCTCAGCATTGCAACACTTAAGTCTCATTTTCAAAGTTGACTTAAGCACTTAGGACCCTAATTCCCACTAAAAGTCAAGAAAAGTTGTTCTGCTGTATCACTTAAGGCCAGATTTTCAAAGGTATTTAGGTACTTAGAGATGCAGATAGATGTCTAGTGGGATTTTCAAAAGTGCCTAAGTGCCTAACTCTCATTGAAATACCCGCTCAAATCAATGGGTGTTAGGCATGTAGGCAATTGTGAAAATCCCTTTAGGTGCCTAAATAATTTTAAAAATCTAGCCCTTAGGCACTTTTGAAAATTTTACCCCCAATTTCCAGAGCTGGGTGTCCAAATCCATTTAGATGGTTTTGAAAAATCTCAGCTGACCTCTGTCAATCATAGGGTTTTTTCATAGAACCCATCACCATACTATTTAAACACTTCCCAGGAAAATGAAATCTGATTTTAAACTGATGGCATGATCTGGCTCAAAGTGCATTGTGTTGCACTTACCTGCGCTGAATTCCATCTGCTGTCATGTTGTCTAGTTCATCTAACATTGTTAGGTCCCCTCTGAAGTAACTTAGCCTTCTTTATACACAAAGTAATGCAAATTTTGCCACCTTAGTTCTCATATTAAACACTGGCCCTAGGCATGGGCAAAGTTTGGATGGGGCAGAGGGGATGTTGCCCCCAAAACTGCAAGCCTTGGGCAAGTGTGGAATTTGCCCTCCCAAGCACAGCCCCATTGGCCTGACTGGAGCTGCCCCCCAAATATAAAAGTCAAACTGTGACCAGATGTCCTCATTTTATCAGGACTATCCTGATTATTATGGGCTTTGTCTTATGTAGGATCCTATTTACTCCCTCACTCCCCCATTACCACTCCCTTGTCCTGATTTTTCACATTTGCTATCTGGTCACCCTAACTAGTCCTAATACAGGACTGTGAAGGCACCTCACTGTTAACCTCTTACCATATTGAAAAACTGATTATTTATCCTTTTTGTTTTCTGCTTCTTTGCCAGTGTCCAATCCATAACAGTACATTTCTCGTTCATCCTGTGACTACTTGGCTGCCTTAAGAGCCTCTGCTGAGGGACTTTGTCAAAAGGTTTTTTGGAAAGTCTAAATAAATTAGATAAATGAGAACCAGTTTGTATATTAGTTTTTGTTAATGAATGATCAAAGAATTCCTCTAGATCAGGGAGACATGATTTTTCCTTTGCAGAAGCTGTGCAGGTTAGTCCCAAACATGGGGTGTTTTATGACTCTCTGTCTTTAGAGTTTGGCCTGAAGTGGACAAGTTGCCCCAACCTGCCATCTCATGCATTTGCAGCCCTGGCAGGTCTTCCTGCATCTCAAATAAAATCTCATGCATGATATGTGTTAGTGGGACTTGCGCATAAAACACCACTTGGCCTAGGAGAAGGTGCACTTGTGAGCCAGGTGACTACATTCTATGCTCATTTCTGTTGCAGAGTAATATTATTATTTCTGTAGTTCACAACCTGATTGACTAAGCTAGGTCTCTAGCTGGAAATAGATCCAAGATCCCTACAATGCCAGATCCCAGTTTCATATCTTTACCAGTGATGTCTTTCAGAATATATATGCCATATCTATGTACCTGGCTACCCTGTCTCTAACCCCAGTTTTGAACACACTTCTCTGCCAAATCCAGGAGCCCTGATTCTCAACATTCCACTGTTGTATCACAAATAGTTGTATAATCCAGTGGCAAAGTGTATGTTGCATCTCTCTCTATATGGATCACCTCCTAGAGGGTAAAGCGTGGATTCACAAAGGAGCAAGGGTACTTGATCCTCGGTCACCCACCTCAAAAACACCAGGCTACAGAGTCATTCTCTCTCTCTTGCTATGGCCCCATGACTCTTTAATTATTTATACACAGTGGAACAGGAGAAATTGAGGGAGCCCCACACCAGAATATCCCAGAGCTCAGTGGTTAGTGCTCTCCTGAGAGGTAAATACTGTGACCCAGAGCTTGGCTAGGCTATGCCTACTGTGAGAAAAGGTGGAGGCAAAACAACACCATGGAGATAACCTTACATTTTAAACTTTATAAAGGCAAAACAATCAAATAGAAAGTAACATCAAATACTCACTTAGGAAAATATTAAACTGTAAATCACCATTCACAATAAAAGAAGTTTTTCAACAACATGCTGTGTGACCCCAGGAGGGAATTAGTTCCTCCTGTCTCTGGCTGCAAAGTCCAGCTTTACCCAGCTGTCCCACCTTTGCCTCTCTGCAGCGTGTGTTGCTCCTTTGATGACTGCACCTCTTTCTAATGAATGTCAGCTTCTCACCCAGCGATCCACACCTTGGCACCAAAGTATATTCCCTCTGTCAGTGTCCCAGTGGTCAACCTCACCAATCATATGCTCTGTGCCCCTCACCACCAGGCTCCTTGCACACAGCCCTTCAAGGGCCAGCTTTCCCCTTTCCAGCAAATCACATTTTTACCCAACACATCCTCTTTTTGGTGCCTTCTCTGCCTTTTTACTGGTAGATCCTGAGCCTCCTCCCCACTTGAGCTGCCCTCTTCTTGTCTGTCCCTCTCTTCAGGACATCATTTTATGCTGCTGCACCACATGTTAGTGCCAGGGCCATGGTTATTACCTGGGAGACCCTTGTTCAAATTATTTCTCCCCCACAGACAGAGGGGGTAAGTGAACCTGGGTCTCCCACATCTCGGCTGAGTACTCTAACCACTGAGTTAAGCTGGATGTCCACATTCTGAATGGTTCCCGGTCTGGTAGGTGGCCTCTGAGCACACCTACCAGACCTGGCCCTACAGGCAAGATAGGGGTTCACCCACCTGTCTTCTCCAGTTCATGGATTGTTCTGGGCCTTAGGTGGAGATATGTGTCTGGATGCCTCGAGGCAGGCAACAGTGTGCATGCTCAGAGGCAGAAACATAGGCACCTAGGGAACTTTTACTCTGAAAACTTAGATGGGGTAAGTTGGGGTGCTTGCAGGCAGTGGAGTGGGGTTTGTGGATCACAGGGGAGCCTAAACTTGGGACGTAGGTGCCTAGCAGCCTGCTTCTGCTACCAATTGCTCCATTAGCTCAAGAAGAAATCCAGGGTGTGGGTCTGCATGGCCTCAGCCCAAATCCTCCTGAGGGAAAACACAGTCTGTGATCTTGCAGTGACAGAATATATTATAATGCACCTGCACAAGGGGCAGGGTGAACATAAGAACAGCCAGATTGGGTCAGACCAAAGGCCTATCCAGCCCAGTATCCTGTCTGCCAACAGCAGCCAATGCCAGGTGCCCCAGAGGGAGTGAACCTAACAGGTAATGATCTAGTGATCTCTCCTGCCATCCATCTCTACCCGCTGACAAACAGAGGCTAGGGACACCATTCCTTACCCATCCTGGCTAGCAGCCATTAATGGACTTAACCTCCATGAATTTATCCAGTTCTCTTTCAAACCTCTCTCATAAGTTTACAGTTACATTATTTATTTAACATTTAGATTGCGATAGAGCCTAGAAGCTGCATCCAGGTCCGATTTCCACTGTGCTGGGTGGGGTACAAACATAAAGCTAGTGACAGTCCCTGTCCCAAAGAGCTTAGCACAGGGGTGGTCAACCTGTAGCTCCGGAGCCACATGCGGCTCTTCAGAAGTTAATATGTGGCTCCTTGTACAGGCACCGACTCCGAGGCTGGAGCTACGGGCGCCAACTTTCCAATGTGCCTTGGGGTGCTCACTGCTCAACCCCTGGCTCTGCCACAGGCCATGCCCCCTTCCAACCCCGTCCCCTGAGCCTGCCATGCCCTCACTCCCTCTCCTCCCCCCCCAGAGCCTCCTGCACGCCACGAAACAGCTGATTGGGAAGTGCAGGGAGGGAGGGGGAGATGCTGATTGGTGGGGCTGCTGGTGGGCAGGAGACACTGGGAGCAGGGGGGAGGAAGCTGATGGGGGCTGCTGACATATTACTGTGGCTCTTTGGCAATGTACATTGGTAAATTCTGGCTCCTCAGGCTCAGGTTGGCTACCCTGGCTTAGCATGTAACAGGTGGATAAGAGGAACAAACAGACGGAACTGAGGTAACAAAAATAATGGGCTATACACAATACTTTGCCACTCAGGAGTAGTAATTATAAATATGCAAATTAGCTCATTAAATAATTTGCCTAAAACATCATACATGGATCTGCACAAAAGTTGGTAGCTCTGTACCACGCACCTTCCACTGGAGCAGAAATGGAATATCAGTTCTTGTATTTCTCTCTCCTGCCTTCTCATCTGTCTGTGCTTGTTTGTGTGTGCTGGGGAAAGCTGGACTGACCCAACAACTTTGTGAGTAAGCTGAGAACACTCTGGCTGAAACCCTGCAAACACTTCCAGCTTTAGCTGAGAAACGCTGCTGTTCTTTCCCAGCGGATTTAACTTTCAGATAAGTTTTCATCATGTGCAATAACTCATGAGCTAAAGCAGGGGTGGCCAACCTGAGCCTGAGAAGGAGCCAGAATTTACCAATATACATTGCCAAACAGCCACCGTAATACATCAGCAGCTCCCCACGCCCCGCTCCCAGCGCCTCCTACCCACCAGAAGCCCCGCAGATCAGTGCCTCCCCATCCCTCCTCACACCTCTTGATCAGCTGTTTTTAGAGTGCGGGAGGCTGGGGTGGGGGTGGGGGAGAGGGCAGAGGAATGAGGGCATGGCAGGCTCAGGGGAGGGAGTGGGAAGGGGGCAGGGCCTGTAGCAGAGCCAGGGGTTGAGCAGTGAGCACTCCCCAGCACATTGGAAAGTTGGCGCCTGTAGCTCCAGCCCTGGAGTTGGTGCCTGTACAAGGTGCCGCATATTAACTTCTGAAGAGCCACATGTGGCTCCGGAGCCACAGGTTGGCCACCCCTGAGCTAAAGCCTTAGAGTGTAAGAAAGTAGCTGGATAGACACATGGCCCTTTGGGAGACAACTGAAGTTGTGTAATTGACGCCATAAGGAACAGGATTTCATCTCTGAAGTTTTTGTCCCAGTTTTGAGCTGCACTAACTCCTGCTTAATCCATAAACCTCAACAACCCCCAGATACGTGCAGATTTTAAAGCCAGAAGAAACAACTCTGATCATCTAGACTTACATCCTTCCTAGCACAGGCCAGAGAGCCTCACCCAGTGATTCCTCCATCCAGCTCAATAACTTGTGGTTGAACCAGAGCAAATCTTTTTTAAAAAGCCTGCCAGTCCTGATTTAAAGGCTGCTGGTTAGATCCTCCGTTGGTGTAAATTGTCTGGAGCTATGATGCTTTATACCAGTAAAGGATGCGCCCCTCCATGTCCTGGAAAATCCATCACGTCTCTAGGTAAGTTCCTGTGGTTAATTACCCGCACTGCTAAAAAACTGCCTCTTATTTCCAGACTGATTTTCACCTAGCATCAGCTTCTAACTTTGGATCTCATTCTGCCTTTCTTTGCCAGATCAAAGATCCTTCTGCAATCAGAGATCTCCTCCGCATGTAGGTATTTCCATACTTTGATCAAGTAACTTCTCAGCCTTCTCTCAGATAAGCTAACAGTAGTGCCCAAGCATTCAAAAGTCATGAGTCAGATCCCCAAACCACAAGATTGGCTTAAAAATCATCAGATTTTTAATTGGATTTATTTAATTCATTTATTTCTATTTTCATTTGCCTTCAGGGTAAAGCTATGTCCCTCAAGACGTGAGAAATTTGCGTGCAAAATTCAACCTGAAATACATATGGGGAGAGGTAACCTCCCCACTGGCTGCTCAGAAGGACTTCCCTTACTCCTGTGCTCTGGGAGCTGTCCTCCTACTCCTCCATCTCCTCCCTGTCACTGTTCTGTCTCCCTCCAAACTCTACCCAGTCTCCTCCCCCACTCATATTCTCCCTCTGTGCTCCCCAGCCCACCCCTGCATTAATCTGTCATCCACAATTTCCCTCCCTTTTCCGTTACAATATCTCCCTGCTCCCCCCCACACACACACACACACTGACATTTTTTTCTCTGCCTCCCCTGATTCACTCCACATTCCCTGGTGACCCCTCAGCATCTGTCCTGTTTCCAAAATTTCCCTGTCTCCTCATATAGTCCTGTCCACTCCCCTAACCATAAAGCAATGGACATCCTTCCTGAAGACAGCCTGGGCTCAGTCTAACTGAAAATCTGGGGAGGTGGCAGACGTTTTACTGGGAACAGCCTCAGTCCCACACGCTGAGTCTGCAGGGAAAGGGCAGCCACTTTGAAGGAGAGCAGTCTTACCTAAGCCCCAGGGGGGAGGCCTAATGGAAGAATGGCCCAGTGGTTAGGGCACTAGGCTATGGGAGACCTGGGTTCAATTTCCTGTTCTGCCACAGGTCTCCTGTATTACCTGGGGCCAGTCACTTAGTCCCTTCTTGGAAGGATGTGGATAATAGCACTGTCCTACCTCCTAGGGGTGCTTTGTGGCTATGTACATTAAGGAGGGTAAGGCCCTAAGGGAAAGAGGACCATATATGTACTGTAGATAGATGGTTCAGGCAAACACACATGTTTGACACCAGTAAAGTGTCTGCAATCACACAGAACATTAAAAAGCATTTACTGTTGTGAATGGTGGCAAAATTACCACAGGTGGCAACACGGTGCTAAATAGATTGAGCTCTTTAAGGCCTTGTCTACACTACATGGACAATAACAGCATGGCTACAGTGCCTTAGCTATGCCAGCATTACTCTGTAGTGCAGATGCAGGCTAGGGAAGGATTTTTTTCTTCGCTGTAGGACAACCACCTCCCTGAGTGATCGTAGCTAGATTGACAGTAGCATCTTCCATCAACCTAGCTGAGTCTACACCTGTAGTTAGGTTGGCAAAGCTAAGCAGCTGCTCACGGGTGTGGATATTTCACACCTCTGAGGGACATAGCTATGTTGACCTACATTTTATGTGTAGACCAGGCCTTACCTTCATCTCTCACTGCAAGGCAGGTTTTCCCAAGATTGAATTGTTCTTGTAGCTCTTTTCTGAGATACCTACTCTATATTCCCCTGCTCAGACATTATCAATTTCCCCTTCTAAAGATCAATTCTCTGCTGCTTCCCTAAAATCATTCAACTCCCTGACAGCAATTAACTCTCCTACCCCCTTGCAATAATTAATCAGTGCCCTCCATGATCAATTCTCCCTAATCACCCTGTGTGAATCCCCCTACTCAGTACCTCTTTGCAAGTCTCAGGACAGCTCCTGCTAAATAGGTTCCTCATCTGCTCTTTTCCCGCTTCCCCCACATTCCTACACTGTGTAGCCCCATAGAGCTATCCCAAGCTGCAAGTCTGCCACCCCCACAGAGTTGGAGACAGACCAGAGAGCAAACAATGCCAGAATTTCTGGCTAAGAGCTGGACTTGTAGCAGGTCAGATCCGAAGATCTCACAAGCAATGTCCGTCCCCACCCACCAAGGCCATTTGTGGGTCATGGACTGCAGCAGGAGGGGGCTGGGAAGGGCTCTGGGCAGAAGCTCTGCAGTGAGACAGATAGATGCAGAGCAGCTCCAGGGTTAATTCTGCTTCCATCATTCCAACACTTACAATTCAGTGTTAGAAGAAAGTGGCTATTTCTGTGATTATTTATTTACACAAAACAACCCCTGCCAGCATCCAGTTGTCAATTGCGGTAGCCTTATTGGCATTGGCCTGCATCTCCTTGGCACAACAGGTACTAAGAATGCTGGGGCAGACAGATCTAGGCCCAGTCATTGGACCCAGGCCACAAGTGAATTCTGGGGACAACAAATGAAAAAACAAGGACAGGAGTGAAGATTAAAGGTTGGAAATGAGGGATCCAAAGAGGGACACTGTGCAGAGAATCCCTGACAGCACCCACTGCTTCAAAGGTGTCTAAGGAGTCAGTGGACAGCACCCAGAGGAACTCTGCCCCGTGGCATGATCAGATGAGGGAGTGGAAATAGGCCTCAGAGAACCCCTTGTCCAGCGTCCTCCTCCTGAAGTGATGGATGGCTGTCTTGGCCAGTGCCAGAAGGAGGATGACAAGATCTCATGACTTTGTGGGCCTGCAGATGGGGTGTGCATGAATTAGGATGCGCAGGGAAGTGCAGTCAGAACCTCAGTAAGAGTTTCTGGAAGAGGAAAAGCACCTTGATGCATCTTATATAGATGTGCACCAGGGTCTCCGTCTCTGCAGAAGGGACAGGAATTACGTGAGTTCATGAACCATGCCAGGTACATGCCTATGCTTATGGCTCCATGGAGGGGCTGCCAATTAATATCCCTGGCAGGCTGTAGAACTATAGGAGAGTAGAGGCTGGCATTCCTCCCCCTCCTCAAGTGGCAGCAGGTTCCACCATGTGGTGTTGGGGTGGGACGGGCTTGTGAGGAAGTGAAGGATGTGACGCATGAGCATGTACTGGTATTTTCTGGGTGCGGTTCGGACACGGATTGGCTGAATGTCATGCAGCTGACTCAGGTGGCATGTTGGGAGCAGCCAGTGAGGCTGTCGGAGCCCAATGACGAGTTCCAGAGGGCCAGGGGTGAGAGATGGACAGGAGGCACTCTCCCACAGGACCTGCTCAAGAAAAGCCAGAGAAGCACGAGGCAAGGCTGCCCTCACTTCCTAGAGCACATGACAGGGACACAGGGTGGGCAGCCCCATACACTGGCTGAATGCTGTCGGGTCCATCCCCTCCCTTTGCTGCTGCACTGGGCAACACAGTATGGGGAGGAGGTGAGAAGCCCTGAGTGGTGAAAGAACAGGTTAAGGACTATTTAGAAAAGCTGGACATGCACAAGTCCATGGATCCAGATCTAATGCATCCAAGGGTGCTGAGGGAGTTGGCTGACGTGATTGCAGAGCCATTGGCCATTATCTCTGAAAAATTGTGGCAATCGGGGGATGTCCCGGACAATAGGAAAAAGGCAAATATGGTGCCCATATTTAAAAAAGAGAAGAAAGAGAACCCAAGGAACTACAGAGCAGTCAGCCTCACTTCAGTCCCCAGCAAAATCATGGAGCAGATCCTCAAGGAATCCATTTTGAAGCACTTGGAGGAGAGGAAGGTGATCAGGAACAGTCAACATGGATTCACCAAGGGCAAATCATGCCTAACCAACCTGATTGCCTTCTATGATGGGATAACTGGCTTTGTGGATATGAGGAAAATGGTGGATGTGATATATCTTGACTTTAGCAAAACTTTTGATACCGTCTCCCACGGTATTCTTGCCAGCAAGTTAAAGAAGTACGGATAGGATGAATGGACTATAAGGTGGATAGAAAGCTGGCTAGATTGTCGGGCTCAACGGGTAATCATCAACGGCTCGATGTCTAGTTGGCAGCTGGTATCAAGCGGAGTGCCCCAGGGGTCGGTCCTGGGGCTGGTTTTGTTCAACATCGTTATTAATTATCTGGATGATGGGATGAATTGCACCCTCAGCAAGTTCGCAGATGACAGTAAGCTGCGGGGAGAGGTAGATACACTGGAGGGTAGGAATAGGGTCCAGAGTGACCTAGACAAATTGGAGGATTGGGCCAAAAGAAATCTGATGAGGTTCAACAAGGACAAGAGCAGAGTCCTGCACTTAGGAAGGAAGAATCCCATGCACTGTTACAGGCTAGGGACTGACTGGCTAAGTGGCAGTTCTGCAGAAAAGGACCTGGGGATTACAGTGGATGAGAAGCTGGATATGAGTCAGCAGTGTGCCCTGGTTGCCAAGAAGGCCAACGGCATATTGGGCTGTATTAGTAGGAGCATTGCCAGCAGATCGAGGGAAGTAATTATTCCCCTCTATTCAGCACTGGTGAGGCCACACTTGGAGTATTGCATCCAGTTTTGGTCCTCCCCCTACAGAAAGGATGTGGACAAATTGGAGAGAGTCCAGTAAAGGGTTACGAAAATGATTAGAGGGCTGGGGCACATGACTTATGAGGAGAGGCCTAGGGAACTGGGATTATTTAGTCTGCAGAAGAGTGAGGGGGGATTTGATAGCGGCCTTCAACTACTTGAAGGGGGGTTGCAAGGAGGATGGAGCTAGGCTGTTCTCAGTGGTGGCAGATGACAGAACAAGAAGCAGTGGTCTCAAGTTGCAGTGGGGAGGTCTAAGTTGGATATTAGGAAACACTGTTTCACTAGGAGGTGGTAAAGCACTGGAATAGGTTACCTAGGGAGGTGGTGGAATCTCCCATCCTTAGAAGTTTTTAAGGCCTGGCTTGACAAAGCCCTGGCCAGGATGATTTAGTTGGTATTGGTCCTGCTTTGAGCAGGGGATTAGACTAGATGACCTCCTGAGGTCTTTTCCAACCCTAATATTCTATGATTCTATGATCATAGTGCAGGTCTCTGAGTCTGGTGGCACCAGCCAGAACCATCATCCAGTGCACCAGCGGGGACTCCACCACTTCACAGTGAGGTGTGGATTGTGCAGCAGGGGTTCTGTGCAGAGGTTCTCCCACTCAGCAGCACTTACAACCTGGTCTCTGAAACTAGCTTCCTGGTTCTGAGGCAGTCCTGGTAAAAGACCGGCGCTTACAGAGCTCTCTTGAGAGACCTCTTGGATGGAGATAAAAGAGTTGTGTGGGACCCTCAGAGGCGGCAGAGTAAGGCATGTGCCAGCACGCTGTAAATGGAGTCTCTACAGATCCTGAAGGTGGATGGCATGGACCTGGCTGTGGATGCAAACCAGGCCCTGTCTGCCCTCACCCGGGGGAGGATCAGGACACCCACAGAGACCCAGTGCAGCCCTGGCCAGAAAAACTTCAGGATCATCTGGAGGTTAGCCAGGGTGCCCGGGGAGGGGCTCAGAATGTTGAACCAGTGCCAGAGTATGAACTAGACCAACAGGTTGATCACCAGCACCCTCCTCTGAAGGGAAAGGCACCAGAGCAGCCCTGTATACCTCCACATCCAGTCAGACACCCTGGCCTCTAGATCAATCCAATTCTCCAGTGGGGAGGGATTGGTGGCAGAAAGGAATATGCCCAGATAGGCAGGCCACAAGCGACAGTCCTGCTTTTCTAGGGTTTGTGTCCCATTCAATACTCAGACAAAACCAGATATGTTTTTTTTCAAGTGTGAAACAGGGGACACCATTGTGAAGCGCATGTCACTCCGCCCCTGCTGGGTGTGACCTCGCATGCAAGGTCACACAGGAGGAGCAAGGGGGCACATGAGGTGTGATTTCACATCCACCATGTGTCCAAGGTCATGCCAGCAGGGGCAGGTCCACGCCATTCTTGGAGGTACCAGAATGTCCGGTATTCTGGGTATGCATGAGCAGCCACCCTAACATGAACCAGTGCACCTTGCCTCCACCCCCCCTTCCATGGCACAGGTGGGAGGGACCCATCCCAGATCATCAGGCCAGAGTTCTTGGCACAATTGACTTGGGTGGAAGAGACAGGCAAAGAGATGGCTTGGCATGGCACGCATCCACCTGTGATGAACACATGTGGTGGGGACAGGAAGGAGGAGAGTCCAGGAACTCCAGTCAGAAATTTTCTGAGGCATCCCTGAAATAAAGGCCCCAGGGGTTCTCAGAATACCTGGCTGGCAGCAGGGGCAGGTTTCTCTGTGGCTCTGTCTCTGCTCCTTTACCTCTGGAGGTTTCTCTCTGCTCAGGAGAGAGAGAAGGATTCTGGCCGAATCCCCATTGTGACACATTTCTGTGCTGGGTGTGGGGGCAGGGAACGTGTTTTCAGTCAATGTTGTCGCTAGAGGGCCCTGGTTGTTGCTAAGGGAGGGAGGCTGCTGCTGTCTGCCTGTCTGTTCCGCACATCGGGGGTTGAGCTTCCTGGGTCAGATTCTGCCACCGCCTCCATTGTGAGCCGGGAGCCGGGGCTGAGCCGCTGCTGCTGCTGCCCAGCGGGGTCTGTGCGGGGAGAGCCCTTCCCTAGAGCCCCTCCGGGCCCAGTCGGGGGGACTTTCTCCGGGGGCTGGAGCCAGGCCCTGGGCAGCCCCGGCCTCTGCCGACACCAGCCCCTGAGCCGGAGCCTGCAGGTGAGGGGAGAGACCCGGGGAAAGGGCTGGGGCCGGGCAGGAAAGTGACTCTGCACCAACGGCCCCTCTTCGCCCCATCTCTGCTCCCGGGCGGGGGGGGGTGTGTCTGCGAGTCCCGGAGCTGCTGCCCTCCCTGACCCCCCAGGCTCTGCCCCCCTGAGCGCCTGCAGGAGCCGAGCCAGCGCCGGGAGAGTGAACGGGCTGGGCCAGGGACCGAGTCTCCCAGCCCGAGGGGGCAGGAGGGAGACAGGGGCAGAGGCTGGCAGGGGCAGCAGGAGCAATCAGTGGGGAAGGAGGTTCCAGGCTCCCAGCCCCATTCCCTGCAGCACCCCGGGCAGATTGACTTTCCTGGGACAGAGTGAGGCGTAGGGAGAGGAAAAGCCAGTTCCTGCCTCTGCCTGGTCCCCGCGCTGCTGGGGGGATGCGCTGTCCTGGGGACAAAGTCATTGGGATCTCCCAAAGCGGCTCCTTGGATTATGCTCTTTTCTAGTGTTTGGTTCAGAGAATCTATTGCTGGGGTGTTAAAAATGTCTCAGTTGGTTTAGTCTTGGTGCTAGGTGATGGCTTTGCACCGTAATAAAGTGACTAAGAATTTAATATTCTCTGAGTGGGTATTTCTGATGGATGCCCCATAAATACTAATACATTCTGAAGGAAATTAATTGAAGAGTTGTTTTGATTTTGCAGCTTGCAATGGGGTACAACTGAATGTAAGGAGCTGAATCGTTATCCAGGGAAGCCAATACACCGAAGATGTCGCCCAGGAAATCCAAGAGGAATGTGAGCCAGAGCCCTGAGCAGGACAAACCCTGTGAGAGCCAGTGCAGGCCAGAGGAGCCAGAGCCCATGAAGAAGAGACCAGTGAAACTCATCCAAGGAATTAAGAAGCGAAAGGACTTTGTGGTGCACCAGGGAACCCAGACAGAGGAGAGCCCCAACATCTGCATCGAGTGTGGGAAAAGCTTTACCCAGAACTCCAGCCTCATCAACCACCGTAGAACCCACACGGATGAGAAGCCCTATAAATGCCCTGACTGTGGGAAATGCTTCGGCGTCAGCTCCAGCCTCAGCAGGCACCAGCGCATCCACACGGGTGAGAAGCCCTATGCCTGCCCTGACTGCGGGAAGAGCTTCAGCGACAAGTCCAACCTAACCCAGCACCAGCGTGTCCACACAGGTGAGAAGCCCTACAAGTGTATTGACTGCGGGAAGAGCTTCAGCCGCAGCTCCCACAAGAAGAAGCACCTGCGGCACCTGATGGGCAAGAGGCCAGGCAAGTGCTCGTCACCGCAGCAGCGTGAGGGTGCCGTGGGGAAGGCCAAGGCCAGGAGGAAGGTGGAGGTGCTGAACACGTGCACCGAGTGCTGGCAGAGCTTCAGCCAGAATGCCGATCTCATCAAGCACATGAGGATCCACACGGGCGAGAAGCCCTTCAAATGTACTGACTGCGGGAAGAGCTTCAGTGTCAGCTCCAACCTCTTCCGGCACCAGCGCATCCACACCGGGGAGAAGCCCTACACATGCTCTGACTGTGGGAAAAGCTTCACGGACAAGTCCACCCTAACCCAGCACCAGCGCATCCACACGGGCGAGAAGCCCTACATCTGCACCTTCTGTGGGAAGGGCTTCAGCCACAGCTCCCACCACAAGAGACACGAGAAAATCCACAAGGGCGAGAACCCGCTACTGACCTTCCCCACCCAGACATTCTGAACAGCTCGAGGTTTGAGGATCATGCAGGGATCAGTGTGGGCTCCGCTGTGGGGAGCTGTCTGCATGGTGGGGATTTGTCTTCTGGAGATTAGGAACGGCCACAGAGATTGCATAGATGTTCAGAATAGAAGGGACCATTAGATCATCTAGTCTGACTTCCTGCACATCACATGCCTGAGAATCTCACCCAGTGATTCCTGCATCCAGCCCAGTAACTTGTGGTTGAGTGAGAAAGTGTGTTTTAGAAGGAGGAATCCAAAATCAGTTTAAATGCTCCAAGTTATGGAGAATCCACCACAGCCTTTGGGATCTGTTCCCAGGGTTCACTACAATCCCATAAAATCTTACCTCTTATTTTCAGTTTGAACACTGCTGACTTCAGCTCCCAGCCACTGGAACTTTGCTAGAGTAATGAGCCCTCTGGTATCAGCAATATGATCCTCATGTAGGTACCTACAGGCTGTGATTAGATCCCCTCTTAACCTACCCTTCAATAGCTAGAGCTCCGTAAGTTTCCTTTCACTGTAAGGCATGTTACAAATCATTCTGTGTAGCCCTTCTCTGAATCCTCTGCAGTTTTGCAACAGCCTTTTTAAAGTGTGGACACTGGAACTGATACAGCACTCCAGAATGGTCTCTCATCCATAGGATCAGAGCAATTGTCCTTCTACTGCCATCACCTGTCTCCAAAAGTGGCTATTACCACCTCCCTCAAAGGAAGGTGTGAAACTCCCCTAATGAAAAGTTTTCCAGTAGCCTACTCATGGGGAAAAGCTGTCCCATCTATCCAGGAAATGGATGGATCGCTTCTGCTCTTTACATAAGCACCCCTTATAAATGTTCCTCCTAGCCATTGTAACTAGGGACGGTATTTCTGTCCTTCACATCAATGTCTAATGTCAATGCTACTGTTTGCCTCCATACACCTTGTGGCAGAGATTTCCACAGGTTATTTATGCATTGTGTAGAATAGCATGTCTATCAGTTTTACATTTTCTGTCTCAGTTTCATTGACTGTACCCTTTTTCTTGTATGGAGAGAGAGGGCAAATAGGAGCACCTTCTCTATCCCATTCATTGTTTTATACACCTCTACTATGTCTTCTCATTAATCTCGTCTCTGACACGGTTCCAATCTTTTCATTCTCTCGTCATACAAAAGTCTCTTCTGGGCCTGTAATTATTCTTGTCACCCATCTCTGAATACCTTCCGTTTCTCCTATGTCCTCTCTGAGATGGGGTGACCAGAACTACACACACCATTGATTTATATAGTGGCATTAGAATATTCTCAGTATTATTTTCTATCCAACTGTTTATATGTCTTGTGTGTGTGTGTTTCTTTGTTAGCTACTGCTGCACATTGTGCAGAGCTTTTCATTCAGTTGTCCACCAAGCCTTGAAGGCCTTTTTCCTGAGATGTTACTAGCATTGTGTATGAGTAGTTCATCTTGTTCCTTTTCATAGGCCATGTAGTGCCATTAATTTTTAAGCAGCTCTCCCTAATCAAGTGAATGGAGAGTTATAAAAAAATCTCGTATCTATCTATAGTACGGTTTTGATAGCACCCATCACCATAGTATCTAAGCACTTCCTAGATAAATTGAATCTTCATTAAAAAATATGAAGGCATGCTGTTGTCTGATGCATTACCTCACACTTGTCTGCACTGCATTCACTCTGCCATCACATTGCCTCAGCTTTGCTAGATCCCTCTGCACTCAGCCTCCTTTATATGTGACTAAACTAAAATAATTTTGTGTCATCTCCAAATGTTGTCACCTCGCTGCTCACCCTGTTCCTTAGATCAGTAATAAATACATTAAACCACAGGGCGCCCTACCTATCTCCTCTTTGCTGTGTCAGCATCTTTCTGTGCCTTGTTCTGACACACCACTCCTCTTCAGAGTCCCCTTTGTCCTATCCTTTGTCCTGAGTTGGGGGTGAGCTCTAGGCAGCCAATAGCATTCTCAACTTTTTATTTGCATTACAGTCCAGCCTAGAGTCCCTAACTGAGATCAGGGCCGCATTGTGCGGGAGCTGCACGTGCACATGTTGAGAGACAGTGCCTCCCCCAAAGAGCTCACAGGCTAAATGGACAAGACAGACAAATAGGGGAGGGGAACAGAGGGCAGGTCTACACTTAAAATGCTGCAGCGGCACAGTTGCACTGCAGCAGTTTCAGTGAAGACGCTATTATGCCGACGGGAGAGCTTCTCTCCTTGGCATATTTAATCCACCTCCACGAGATTTTTCACACCCCTGAGTGACGTAGTTATACCGATTGTAAGTTTATAGTGTAGACCTGGCCAGAGACCCAGAGAGGGGTAAGGGACTTGCCTGAGGTCACCCACCTGGCCAGTGGCAGGACTGGGAATAGAATGCTTTGCTCTCTTGGGTTGTCCAGAGTGAAATTACCCAGAGTCTCGTCCTTACTTAGTCTTACTCCTATCGTCTCCTTAAAAACAAACCAGATATATTCAAAATAGAGAAACTATTCTAGTAAACTCAAAGAAATGAATTGCATGACATATCTAGATGTAAACTGCTTGTAAACTACACTAGATGATGTACTCTCAGCTTAGTTACAGAAGACTAAAAGGAAAATATGTTAAATTTCTAGACATCAGGAAATTTCTCTAAACAGGAAAGTTTTACCAGTTATAAACGTTTTACTATTATACCAGTTAAATCCCCATGTGGACAGTTTTATTGCAGTATAGGAGTGACTTTTTTCAGCTTATTTTAAACCCTGTCCCAAGCGACATAAGCTATACCAGAAAAAAGCTGCTTTAACTGGAGTAGCTGTCCACATGGTGAGATATATACGCTGGTTTAAATTCACACTAGCCTATACCAAAATAATCTTTCCTGTATAGATGAGGCCTGACATTCTGTTTGTCAGAGCCCAGCTATCCGCCATCCATCTCCTTTAACCCCCTTTAAAGAGGGTCTTTTCCTCTGTGATCTGTGTTTCAAGATCCTTGTCAGTGTTTCAGTTCTTTTGATATGCCTGGGTTAGTGATCCTCAGCCATTGATACCCCTCACAAAGGCGATTTCTTGCGAATTTCTTGTGGTTTGTTTGCATGACAGACAGCTCCTGTCCCCAGCCTCATAGTTCTTTGTGAGCAAATCCACAAGAGGTGTTTGTTACCCATTCATTAGGGATGCTAATTAACCTCCTTCCAAATGGTTAACTTGGGTCAGATCCATTAAACATCTCTCTTTCTGCATTTATGAATGTAGCTGATAGACCTTCATAATATAACTCTATTCCATATTATATGTTATTGGTATTAGATCAGCGCCTTGAGACCCCAGCCAAGATTAGGCCCCTTTGTTCTGGGCGCTGACACATAGTGAGAGACAGTCCCTGCCCCAAAGAACATGAGGATATAGGAATTGCCAGACTGGATTAGATCATGGTCCATCTAGTCTAGCCTCCAACAGTGGCCAGCCCAGATGCTTCAGAGGAAAGTGAAGAAGCTCTGCAGTGAGCAGTTATAGGCTTATCTATCTCCAGGAAAACTTTTCTCTTAACCCTGAATCGTTAAGTTCCAAAGCCTGAGGCTTCATACCCCTCCAAAACCTGTTTGGAGATGTTTAGTATTTACTCTGAATATTCTTGTCTGTATATAGAGCTTATTATCCAAATAGACATGGGAGGGGAAACGACTTGTCCAAGCTCACAGAGCAGGTCAGAAGCAGACCCTTCATTTGGTGGCTCCTAGGCCAGTGCTCCATTCCTCAGCCCACACTGCTTCCCACGACTCACTCAGCAGCTCTTTCCCACTGTCAGCCCACTGCCAATCTTCTGGGCTGGAAAACTGACCACTGAGCTCTGCTCTTTGTGCCCTTTCCCTTCCCAGTATACAATCCATGACAACGCTTCACCACTCACCCCACGATGTCTTGGTTCCCTTCATGGCTTCTTGGAGGAGCTTTGCCAACGGCTTTCTGGAAGTTGGAATAAAGGATGTCACCTGGATCTTCTTCATCCACTGTTCTGCTGAGGTGCTCTAGAGAATCCCAGTAGGTTCCTTTGGTTAGATCCCTTCATATCATCCTCATTTAGGTTCAGATTATTTTAGTGCCCGTTTCAATCCATGTAGCTGGTATGGAAGCTGGTCTGTAATCTCTGACTCTTCCCTAGCATCTCTTTTAATACAACAGTCTTCAGCTCCTCCTTTATAGTAGGTAACTTGAATGGTTTTAAATTATATTTAAATATTTTGGCTCAGCTGCATCCTCAGGAGTTTGGGAGGCAGAGCTAGTGTAGTGTAAACGATGTTTGTTCCAGAACCTCCTCTTTTGACACCTCAGTCTCTGACAGTGCCTTATCTTTACTACCTGCACAGAGAGCCTGGGGTAGGTTTCTCCACAACACTCTCTGGGATGGAGCCTGAGGCAAAGAAACCCCATAGCTTCCCGGCAATGTCCTTGCCCGCTGAGATAGCTTCTGTTTCACCCAGGTGATGGAACAGCCATTCCCCAAGTGTGGCTCAAGGGACTCTGGCCTTTGGTCCAGACAGCTGGCTGCTCCCATGCCTGTCTCTCCCTCTGGCCTGCCAGCGGCTACTCCAGTTGTTTTTGGCGCTTCATGGCGAGCCTGACAGCCTTGAAAAGTAGCTCGGAATAAGGAGGAGGAGCCAGACTAGCTGCCCCTGTACATGAAGGGAGAGGAAATGGGAATGGTGTCAGGCAATGGGAGAGGAGGTGGGGCCTGGGCAATGGGGACCAGGATAGGAAACAGGACACAAGACAATCTGTTAAGAGGGGTAAAAAGATTTGAGGGGCCGAGGTCTAATGGGCCCACTGACTTGTGCAACCTTCCTACTTCTGGAGTTAGTGAAGAATTTCCAGTTAAGTGTCTTTATGTCTTTGACTTCCCAGATTGCCTCTTCTCCCTCCTAATTCCCCCCTCACTGTTTATGTTCCTTTCTGTTGGCTGCCCACGGGCTGACTTTACACGGTGTGAATGATTCATGCTGAGTGCA